GAGAAAAAATATGAGATAATTACAATTCTACAGGAATGTATAAAAATAGTTATAAAACTTGCTTTATTTAATTTGCTTCAACTATTCATAGACTTGAGGAAATTATAACGTTCTTTCAGAAAATCTAACTTAATAAAGCTGACCATGTCTCTCTGTTTTAAATAGATTTTATTACAGAACCAGTGATGTTGTAAAACATGAGGTTTTGTTAAAAAAAAAATACAAAGGCCTAATTGTATTTTTTAAAGAAAGTATTGCATCAGACGGTTTCATTTAAACATATTTGCTGGCTCTGTGCTCTCAACACAACTATTGATTCTAATTTTCTTTAAACTTGTTTTTTAAAAAGATTACTATTCTTAATGGGGAAAAAACTCACTTTGGTGCTTCTGGGCATTATGTTTATTTTAAACTATACATTTGACTGTATACTTTATTATTATTCATCAAAGGACTTTATATTTACTCTCTTCTGGAACTGGGACATTTCTCTTCCGTAATTCTTCATGAAAGAGAAAAACAGAGCTGTGATTTGTTCATTGATAATATGCAAAACACCCTGAAGAAATACCCTCAGTTTTTGTGCAAAAATTAAATCAAATGAATAGTTATATGAGCTATGCTCATAAAAGCCAAGGAAAAGCGATGTCCAACTTCAATCAGAACTTCAAGTTCCTCGAATAACAGGAGCAAACTCTAGCATATAGAAATGATAATGTGGAACTGAAGTTTCCAGGTGTGCCCAGGAGACCTTCACACCCATGCACATGCACGCAGTGCCAAAGACCAGGAAAATGGGCAATGGGCAAATAATTTAGATGAGCCTATGAAGAAATCCAAACCACAGAAATGTAACGGATAAAATGAAAAAACTCAAGCACAAATATCTGTTTCAGTTTAAGTTATAATCTGATGGAGAAAAGGGCACAAGTGGGCCAATTGTAGAAGCTACTACCTTAAGGGAACAGCAGTCTATTAAGAACTTCCACCAGGGAACCAGCAGATGGTGGAATGGTTACATTGCTAGACTCCTACATAGTTGACTCTGGGTCAAGTCCTGGATCCAGCAGCTTAAAACTCATGCCAGATTTATGTGCATGCATGCCCAAGATCCCAAGATAAGAATGAAGGAGAAGGGATTGCAGCGTGGCCACCTCCCGGGGCGAGGGTGGTGATTTCTTGCTCTCTGTCTGTCTGGTGAAGACACGTGTCCTATAACAAAAATTAAAAAAAGAAAAGAAAAAAAAGAAAGAAAGAAAGAAAAAGAAAGAAAAGAAAAAGAAAAAAAAGAACTTCCATCAGGGGACCAGCAGGTGGCATGGAAGTTAAGATGGCTGGATCCCACCTGGCTGACTTTGTACTTTGTGGTTTGAGTCCTGGACCCAGTGGCTTGAAAATCATGCTGGGCATGTATGCCCAAATTCCTGAGAAGAGAATGGAGGACAAGAGATTACAATGTGGCCATCCCCCTGGGAAGTGATTTCTCATTTTCCTTCTCTCTGCCTCTCTTCCACAAGCACATGTGCCCTATGGCCAAAACCTAAAAAAATAAAATACTTCCACCAGAGGGTGAGGGCAAATTAGCAGAAAATCCAGTCTATGTGTGGAAAAGCATAGTAGCAAGATAAATACAGTGACACAAGGTAAAATTTGCTTTATTAAAAGGAAATACTTTCACCTTGTAGATTAGCTTATGCCTACTTTCTCAGTGTCTGCAGTAAATCCAGTAAACTTCATTCAATTCCTCTTCTTTCTTTTCAGTGTCTCACTCATCTCTCTACCCTGTTCCTGCTCCAAACTTTCTGTTTCTCACCATACAGGTCAAGTCTATACCGCTAAGTAAATACCTCATCATCTGCCCTTGTCAATGATTCCCATGTACAGCTAATTTATTTCACCTATAATGTTTCAGAGCACACTAAACTAGATTTAGCTGTCTTCTTTTCCTAGCTTGGTAAATAGAAGGTGTGAGAGGATAAAAAACAAGAGTGGTGTGAAAAGGGTACAGATAATTTCGTGGGAAGGTGAATATGTTTGCATGCCCCTTTTAGGAAAAAAGCAATGACTTATGAATGGAATGAGAAAAAAGGAACTATTCAGATATGTTTATTCAGTATTCTACTTCGATGAACATTTAGACAACTGCACATAAACAATCTGGAGCTATGTTACCTAACAGAAGAAAAACGTAAATGGTAAATAATATCAATAGTTTTCAAGTACGGCACCTTAGTGGTGTATTACAGTTGACCAAAAACTTTACAGGCCCAGAAGTCAGCACACCAGGGCTTAACTCCCAACTATCTAAGGTAACTATCTGACCGTAGGCTAATCCTTTAACTTTGATTCCAGATCTCCTGCCCATAAAGTTAGGACACTTGAATGTTTCTATCTATTTACATTGAGCAACAATTTTATATGAAATCAAGTTAAAATTAACAATATGAATTCAATACAAAATAAATACACAATAGTAAGACCAAGAAATAACTTAGTTTTCAGTATGTTCCAAAAATCATCTAAATGAAAAAATTAATAGTTAAATGATGAAATATAATATGTAAGCAGAAAGTCAATGGCATGATGGTTAAGACTGCTGGATCTCACGTGGTCAACTTTGCGGTGTGAGTCCCTGAACCTGGTGTTTGAAAAACATGCTAGGTGTGTGTGCTTGCATGCCCAAAATCCCAAGAGAAGAATGAAAGAAAAGGGATTACAGCGTGGCCATACCCCCCTGGGGGGATGCTTTCTCACTTTCTCTCTCTCTCTCTCTCTCTCGCTCTCTCTCTGGTGAGCACAGATCCCTATAGCAAAAACTACTAAAAATTTTTTTTAAAAGAAAAAATATAATATAGTATGAAAGTTTATTTGAAACTTTATGAAGTTAAAAATTAATGTATGATTATATCAGATTTTTGGCTTCATAAGATGAGAGTTATTTGGTGAATTTATGCATTTTTAGACTTTTTATCTTCAAACATAGTCTCAGGGTCTAATTTTGTCAGCAGGCAATGATTAGCTTCATCTGAGGCTCAAGAGTTTAATATATAAACTAGAACAATTTATTGATCTATAGTGAGGAATGCAATAGGCATGAAAACCAAAATTCATTGGATAGGTCTTTACGGATCAATTAAATTAGGAAATGAAATTATGATAAAAATGTCACTTGTCAAACATGGAATTAGGATGAGAAGAGCTAGTTAAATGGTACAGATGTTTAATGCCATTAGTACCCTCATCTCCCCTTTCTCTCCCTGTCATGGTCAGATGTGTACTGTGAAAGTTGACTTCTTTGATTCTCTTTTTCTTCATTCCCATTGTTAACCAACCATTGCCCTTCTTCTGATTGGCACACCCTTGCTAAAAAATTGCTGAGTGCTCATGGTCAAGTCAGGCCACCCTCTGTGTTTTTGGCAAATCTCCTCTCTTATCTACTGTGTGCAGTCTCTGTTGTCTTCATCACCAAATTCTTGATAGTCACTGCAGTGTTCCCCCCAAGAACAACTACATCATTCTGCTGAGTAAAATCAACCACTGTGGGAATGTTATTGAGTGTAACAAGCACCTAGTCCACTGCCAGAACTGGAAAAGATATGCAGGGGCACTTTAAAGACTTGGTTCTTTACCTACAATGGACTTTTAGACTGCAGGAAGGGGATATTTAATGAAAAAAACATATTAAAGACCAAGGGAATACAAATCAAAATCCTCAGCTATACGAACATTGAATGGCCTTGCTTCAACAAGATCAGAAAAAAAAAAAGAAAAATAGAAGTATTCAACCAATGTGACACTGAGACATTTGGATTCCATGCTAATACCAGGGGAAACTTGTGAATTCTACAGTGATAATGAATTCTATACTGAGAGCAAGAAAAAGTCATTTATGATGGTGGCAAGAGAATGGTGCCAATGCCCTAAGTTTTGGTCAGCCTCTCAAAGTTGAGAGACTGATCGAAAGGGGGTAACTGTCGGGGACCAGCAGTTAGCGTAATGGCTATGTCGCTGGACTCCCATGTAGTCAACCATGGTTCAAGTCCTGGACCCAGTGGCTTAAACTCATGCTGGGCATGGGTGCGTGCATGCCCAAGATCCCGAGAGGAGAAAGGAGGAGAAAGGGATTGCAGTGTGGCCATCCCCCCTGGGGGGGGGGATGATTTCTCGCTTCCTGTCTCTATGTCTCTGTCTGTCTGGCGAGCGCATGTGCCCTATAGCAAAAACCTCTCCAAAAAAAAAGAAAAAAAAAGGGGAGGGGTAATTCTTAAACTCTATTGGCCTGTAAAGATCTCTGTTCTGCTTCAGTTCCCCCACCCCCTTCGGCATATCTTTTCCAGGTCTGGCAGTGGATAGGTGCTTGTAACACTCAGTAATATCCCAGCAGTGGTTGATTTTACTCAGCAGAATGATGTTGCTGTTCTTGGGTCAACACCACAACCGCACTTGGAAGTCCACTTTTTTATTAAGTTGCTGAGTTACAGCCAATCACAGCAACCACACTTCAGTCAATCACAGAAAGCCCACCCTTTAAACTGTGCTCATGCAGCCTCATGTCAAGCTGTGACCAATCCAATTATTTCTCTGTCCCATTCCCTTACTTTAGTTTCTTGTAAGCCACTTTCCCTTTCTTGTGCATAAATGTCACCCCACCACATGGCTATCCAGAGTTCCACGGAAGCCATTCTGGGGGCTTCTGGATTCAAATAGTTTTGCTCAATTAGACTCTATTATATTAAAAAAGAAAAGGAAAAAGAAAAAGAAAAAGAAATACTAAGCTACAGAGTATAGAGAGAGCATTGGTGAGTATGAAAGCAATCTTTAGAAGATATGGAGCCCAAAAAGGGCAGGAAAGAATCAAGAGGGCAAATCAAGAATTCAGAGGAGAAGGCACTTAGATAAAAGACTTGGAAGTACATACAGTACATATACATAAGGAACTGGCCAAAAAGTGGTTAGTCACTGAAGTCTGTGTCATAATTCAGCTCTTTTTCTTCCTCCAGGAAGTGATAGAGGTTGTCAAGCCTGCAAGTAGCCCTTTTCCAGATCCTCTGGAAGAAGGAATCTCATTTGAGATTTATTCAAAATTCATAGAGCCACCCCTAACAATGGATACAGAAATGAAGGTATGTTTTCTTATATCTCTCATCCACCTACTTCACCATTATATAAAAAACTGAATGTTCTTTCATTTTCTTTCTTCTAATTTTTCCCCAGACATATGTAAATATTTCTTTTAGTGCTGATTCAAAAATGAGCCAGCTAATGGTGACTCGGTGATTTTAATCTCTTCCACCCCCTTTCCCTTCATTTTCCCAAAAGTAGGCATTGCCTTGGCACCATGACTTGATCTCATAACCCACAAGAATCATAAAAATACAGAATAACATCAAATCAATATCTCCCTTCAGATTGACTTCACTCCTGGTAAAAAGAGCATCCACTAAAAGTTTGAAGTCACATATAAACCACCAAATGCTCCAAAGATCACTTGAGTGTTGTTTACTTTTAATATTTTAGGGGCTGGATCAAGAACAAGCCTCTGAGGAGTCCCAGTCAGAAACTGACACTTCAGACATGGATCTTTTAGCTGGTTTCACCATTGAAGATATAAAATCAGTGCTGGATCAAGTCACAGATGACATTTTTACCAGTATTCAGGTACTCAGTATTGAATGTGCACTCACTTACTTTATTACTGGTTAATTAGCCAACCTTAGCCTTAATGTCTATAAGCACAATTCACATTCTGCCAAGAAAGAGTGACGCTCATGATGGGATTCAATTTAACATCTCTATGTAATTCTCAGTTGACTCATCTGAGATTCAGTAAGATCACAAAATAGAGATTTACCAACAGCATCTAGTGTAGTGTGTGTTATCAGGTTACAAACTCATTTGACATAGAAACCCAAAAAATAACATGGCATAGACTTGTCACAACATAAACATTGCTCATGCAAGAGTAATTACAGTTCTAAACAGTAACCACTGAAGATCAAACTATCATGCTTATCGAAGACTTCTTACCAAATTTCCTTAAAGAGTCAAGTCTTTGGGACCAGCAGTTAGCGTAATGGCTATGTCGCTGGACTCCCACGTAGTTGACCGCAGTTCAAGTCCCGAACCCAGTGGCTTAAACTCACGCCAGGCGCGTGTGTGTGTGCGCCCAAGATCCCGAGAGGAGAACAGAGGAGAAGGGATTGCAGCGTGGCCATCCCCCCTGGGGGGTGATTTCTTGCTTTCTGTCTCTCTCTCTCTGTCTGTCTGACGAGCACATGCACCCTATAGCAAAAACCTCTCCAAAAAAAAAGAGTCAAGTCTTTGAACTCCTTCTCAGGCTGTTCCTTTCACACATCACTAATAGCTAAACAATTTACACCAGTGGCTGCCTGAGAATGGTGATGGCCATAACCACTGCAGTAGCAGCTGCCCTAATCAGCCTAGCTTTAAGCTTAATGTTTCCTTATTCTGTCCCCAAAACAAACAAAGAACTGTTTCTACCTCAACACAGAGACTTAACAGGAATTCCCATGTCTTCCCAGGTCAAATGATTAACTAAGTGAATTGCATATTTTGAATTGCATAATTTGCAAATTTTTTTGTGGAAATGGTTGTATAACAGTAGGACAACATAGTGCCTATTTAAAATACTAACATACTTTGGAGAAGATTTAGTCACTCCCTGAACATAAGACCATATATAAAAAGCACACTGTATTAACAACGAATTTAAAAAAGAGCAAAAGATTGGCTTGGCATAATCATACCTTGTTACTTGTTTAATCATCAAATGTTATTGCACTATTTACATGAACGTTTAATGATCTAATGCCAACAGAATCAGCCAAAGTCCTCAGCTTAATAAGGGGTGTTTAGTGTTTACCAGAAATAGTGGAAGAACACGTTTTACACAAAGCTTTATTGTTAACAACCCATGGATATAATAATTGGTTACTATGTGGAAGGGCAGAGTGCAGTTGAATTAAGCTGAGTTCAGAACAGTGTCTCTTTTTTTAGATTTGATAACATTTTATCTAAATATAGTTTACAAATAATCATGGCCCTGGGCTCCTTTGCAATCCTGGGGCTCTAACATTATTGCTGAGGAACTACTAGATAGTAATAGAATTGTTTGCAGGCCCCAAAATTGAAAATTTTGCTAAGCCCAGGCTCCGTGTAGTGAGCAGTATGTTTTTAACTATTCATTGAATTTTTTTATATTCCAGTCTACAGCATTTACATCCTACTCTACAACAGAAAGAATAAGATTGTTATTTGTGTGTATTACCTTCTCATTGGCCTGAAGCCATTCTAGAAGTTCCTTAGCTTGCTCACCTAAATGTAATGAGACATAGAGAGATCTTGGTCAGACCAGAGGAGAGGGATGCAGATCCTCCATAGGTACCACTGTTATTTCCATATTAAGTGGGTTTGTGGACATCAGCCTGAGTCAAATTACTGCCAGTTTTTCAATGCAATGACATGATGATGAGGATTTATACAGTATCTCAAAATAGCAGAAGTTTTTACGTGTTTCTTTCAGTAATCCTGGCAAACTTCATGCAAGTTAGGCAGGCTCTCCACCTAACAAATTGAAAACTGAAACCCAGAAAGACTAAGTCGTTTGTCCAGAGTTCCCATGGTTGACAACTGATGGAAGTCCTGAATGGGAACTGTAAACTGGGTTCTAGTTCTAATTCCAGTGTTATCCACAAAAACCACATAACATCTAATATCACAACCAGACCACTTTGGATTTTAGTATTCTCATGGTGTGGCACTTTTTCACTGTTTACTCTTGTGTCTTGGGCATATTCCAAGTTGGGTGATTTTTCTGCTTCCTGAAATTTCTCCTCATATTGTAGAGGAGTAAGGTATTTTCTACTCTAAAAACCTGCCTTCCAGTGTTCCTGGCTCTAAAATTACCACATCTCTTTTCAAAGGTAATCGCATGTCCATGGTCAGTGTACACAAGCCTTCTGAACACACCGACCCACTGTAGAACATGAAACAAATTATTATTTGAAAGATGTTTTAAATTTTCCCATAGTTTTTTCTGCCTTTTTTTTAAGTTATTACAATTTTTGCAGAAAAAGGCAGTAGATAATTCATATTTAAGTCTAATTTTTCTAGAACTCTTTCTCTACTATTGTTTCAGGCATATTTCACCTTCTGTAATTCAGAAATTTCTGAAAAAAATGTAACATGAATCCTTACATTTTTAAATGTTAATCTATTTTTTTCCCATTGACTCATTTTATAGTCTTAGAGATTTATTAAGAATGAAATTATCTTGGCCTTGAGATGTTAATTAAAATTATACTGAATAGAGCAAACATTTTAAGCCTATATAGTTTAGGTATTTTAATTTTAAAGATACATTCAAAGTGAAATTTTTTTGGCCCTGAGTTGTGTAATAAAAATTATACCCAATGGAGCAAACTTTAATATAGTTAAAGAATTACATTTCAGAGAAATATGAATGCTAACACTAAATTTCTTACATTAAATGTTGGCTGTTGGCCCTGTCTAAGAAATAGGGTAAAATAATGTGAAACCTTGAGGGAAATTTACCATTTGGGATGCTGGGTATTCTTAGGTCAACTTCCAGGTTAGAAAAACTGTTAGTGAGATCACCTGGAGATAGTGGTCAAGGAGAGATGATTAAACCCAGGACATCGGTTTTCCATTCTTCTTCAAGGAATAGAATCATAACAAAATTTTAAAATATTTCATGACAGCATATTAATACAATACAACATCAGTAAAATAACACAAAATTAGGAGTTGGGAATATGAAATTAAAAGCGAAGGTATAAAGTAGGGGCCAGCAGATGATTAAGGTGCTAGACTCCAATGTGACCAAACACATTTCAAGTCCCAGATCCATTGGCTTGAAAATCACACCCAGCATGTGTGCATGGTGCCCAAAATCCCATGAAGAGAATGAGAAAAAAGGGATTGTGGTGTGGTCATCTCCCCCGGCGGGGGAGGGGGAGATGAGATTTCTCACTTTCCCTCTCACTTTCTCTCTCTCTCTGTCCTCTGTCTCTAGGTAAGTACTTAAAGAAAAAAAAAAAAAAAAAAAACAGCTAGGATATAATGTGAACATAATCCTATTCCTCAACTTAATGTTTTGATAAGAACTAACACCCAGCATGATTAAGTGACTCACCCAAGGCTACATAGCTAGACTCATACCTAGGTCTTCCCACTCCTAGACCTTTGCTCAATTCTGCCAAAATCATACATGAGGGAATTAGTGAAAAACTGACAGTTTCTCTGTAACCTGGAGAATCATTTTATTCCTCCTTATCTCTTCCACCCACCACCACGAAAGACAAGAGACCATAACTTGATCTCAAGGTTTAAAAAATGATGAACCAGAAAAGACCAATACTCAGGTGAATTTTGAATCCAGAATTGTTGACACCAATGTGATCTTTTCAGAATGATCAACTCTTTCTATGAAGGTAAAACAAAATCTCATCAGATAAGTCAACAAGGCTGGACATTTCAAAACTATTTATTATAGTTACACTATTTTAATTTACTTATTTATTTTTATTATAGTAAGCGTGTGCACTTGTGAGGAGGGAGAGAGAGGCAGGGAGAGAGAAAGCACTTTCAACAGGATCCTGTCATTCTACAATTCTCTCTCCCCACTCTGTGGTTTTTGAGCTGACTCACAATCCAAACTGTGGTTGTCCTATGGGCTCCCGCTGTTAGGGTTACTACGCATCACAGTGACTGGGACTGTAGTTATGCTCTTTAAATAAATGAATGAATAAATACAAAAAGTTTTATCTGGGCCTAAAATAGTATTTGATTTTTAAATTTTCTTTTATCGAAATGGAAATTGAAGTTCCTCAAACTATAGTTAGCCTGAAGACTTCGAATTATGTTATTTATTTAGATTATTTAGAATATTAATATTCTAAACTCTGAATTTAACATATGTGTACATAAACCACTCTTCATACATTTGTAAATATATATATATATATTTTTTTTTTTTGGAAGAGGTTTTTGCTACAGGGTGCATGTGCTCACCAGGGAGACAGAGACAGAAAGCAAGAAATCACCCCCCAGGGGGGATGGCCACACCGCAATCCCTTCTTCTCCATTCTCCTCTTGGGATCTTGGGCATGCACACACATGCGCCTGGCGTGAGTTTAAGCCAGAAGGTCTGGGACTCGAACCACAGTCGACTACATGGAAGTTCAGCAACATAGCCATTATGCTAACTACTAGTCCCACATTTGTAAATATTTTTAAAATAATCTAAATAGAGCTAGCCTCATAGCCTGGTGATTAAGGGAGCTGGATTCCACATAACTTACTGTGCTTCATTTCTCAGTCCTGGCAGCTTGATGAATAAGCCGGTGTGTGTGCATGACCCAAATCTCCACACAATGAAGAAATGGAAAAGAAAGGATGGCAACATGACCTCATTCCATTGGGGATTACTTTCTCCCCTTTCTCTCTCCCTGTCTTTCTGTCTCTCTTTGATGAGCACATGCACCCTCTGTCAATTAAAAAAAAATTTAATTAAATGAAATTAAAAATAAAAAAAAATCACCCAAACAGTAACAACGAAAACACCAATTTTGTCATATCAAACATCACTGTAATTTTAATATCCATTATGAAACAGG